ACGAGGGTCAATCTCTCCCAGGCCTGTTGTCAGCATGGCTCAAGGGGTCACTGCCTCCTATACACTTCAGGGGCTTCTTGGGCACAAATTCAGGTGCCCTTAGAAAGAGACCTGCTATCTAGTTTGGGTCCAGCAAATATTGCTGCTGCAGTGAAAACTACACATGTACTTACTCTATCAGTTCTGGCCACAAAATGGCAGCCCAATTCACTGCTGGCCCAACTTGACCTTGGACACTGAACTTGCTGCATAGTGCCAACCAGCTGGGCAAGTGTAGCCCCAGGGTCTATGAACAGCAGGAAAACAGCAAATGGAGTATGTTCCTCATTGGAGTCTAAAGATGAGAACCCGGCTCTAGAATTTGAACCTAAGACCAGAGGAAGGAACCTGAGGAAGAGGAGTCCTAAACAGACCTAGTCCTCAGACTGGTTTAGGGTGAGATCTCTATTCATCAGCAAGAGGTAAGGCACCTTTTGACTTATTGCTTTTGTTTCTTTGCCTGCTGATCAGTGGAATCGGGTTCCTATAACTTGTTGCTACCTTTACAATGGTTCTCCGAAAGAGAAGAGTTAACATACAGTCATTATGGAAAATTTGGGAAGCAGAGAACATGTTAAGGACAAAATATCCCCCTTGCAAACATGCAGAATCCCACCACATAGAAGCAGCATTTGTTCATTCTTTCTAGTGGGTTCTCACTGCCTTTTCTCAAAGCTGAGGTCATCCTGCTGGAGGGCCAGCAGCAGCACTGAAAAGGCTGTCACCTGTGTGGAGTGGAATCATTTCACCCTCCTGAGCTGTTAGACATTTCATGTGTTTGGCTTCCCCATTCCCATGAGGGCAGGGGTAAGGAGCCATGTGAAGACTTTGTTCTGTGTTGTTTTCCAGCTTCTTTCCTCAGGCGAGAGTTCCAGAAGGGAAAACACCATTCTTCGAAGCTATGGAGCCTGTCTGCTGATGTCAACATGCTGGTCATGCTTTCTGTGTGCTTGTGGAGAAGTGCAAAGGGCAGGTGTACTGTACCTCACATTCCAGAGACCTCCTTGGCACAGGCCTTGCCTGACCCTGTGGTGCTTCTTACCCTGAACACGTGTAGCCTCAGCCAGGGAGAGTACGCTTGAGCAGTAAACTGGTTTGTAGGCCTCTGGGGGCAGAGGGGGCTTGGACTTCCTTTGACCTTTTCCCTTCTTCCCAGAACTTCAATATTTTTTTGTGACGTGATAGCTAC